AATTTCAAAGCTCTCGTATATCTCAAAGTCGGAGGATACCTTTCTTCTCACATTTTTCGTTAAACAAAAAAAAAAAGAAAAAAGGCAGAAAAAATGCACCCGGTGTCTCAAAGAACAAATTGACACTCCCTCTACCCGTCGCGAACAATTACACTCCCCATTAAGCCCGTATAACCGCCCGGAAAAAGAATCGCACGCAGACCGCTAATTAGCGCGCCGCAATCCCACCGCGACAATGCTGCACGTGTTAACATCCGTCCATCCATCCGTCCGATCATCGGCCGGGCTATTCTTGCAGACGCGTGTTAACGCGTGCGCGCGCGAATCCGTTCGTCAAACATTTGGCGGACCGGAATTTCGGTCGCGCCGATCAAATTATTCCAGGCGCAGCTTTTCGCCATTTGAATAACAATAAATGGGCGCACACGCAGAGAGAACGCGCGTATACGCCAGCCGCGCGGCGTACCTTTGTGCGCGCGGTTGAAATTGGGCGAGGAGCGGGTTGGCCGCGGGACGACCGGAAGCGGGGAATACGAGAGAGTATATCGATGCCGCACGCGGTGACGCGCTGCGCGCCGCGCCGCGCCGCGATGGCCGGCCGGAAGCAGGACGCGCTAATTGAATCGTTTTGTATATCGTTCATACCCGACACCGGGCCGAATTTAACGGCCGATTACGCGCTACGCCACTGAACAGGAACGTAATATCTCGTGTGTGCATACCGTGCGTCGCATCGAATGAACGAGGGGGGGGGGGCGGGTGGAGGGAGGAGGCGCTCGTTCCTCGCGCAGCAAATTCGACCCTTTGTTTTATCGCGACAGCGAAGAAGGCAGGGTCGCTGCGTTTGCATTTAATCGTTGGCCGCCCGCATATCTGCACGATATTCTTGAGCGACGGTTCTTTAATTATTCATCGCCTCGGGCTCGATTGCGTTTGTTCCTGCAGTCTTAAAATTAATTCGCTTCGGTCGGGACAGGAGTGTGTGACTCGAACCGAGCGAATCGTCTCTTATTAATCGCCTCCTAATAATTCTTATGACCCGCCGTAATTTTTGTAACTCGCGAGAGTAGCGAGAGCGAAGATGATTAAAATGGCCGTTGAAATACCTTCAGTGGCATTCATATTAGTAATATTTTTTTACTCGCTCGAGAATGTACAATAAATATCTAACAGCTTCAATTCGCGATGAAATTTATAATTATTACTCGAGATCGCAAGTTATGTGGTTCGTCCCGCGCGTATCCGACAATACCGACGATGAAACATAACGTACGCTCGATATGTCGTTTTCGAATCGTTACGTGTTAACGTTTGAAGTATGTAAAAATCGGATTATCAAAGTTATATATGGACCATCCGCGACTTCGATCGAGGTTTACCACGCGAATGAACGTTTAATGTGCGCTGACAGCTTTTTCGTATCGGCGAAGATTATCATATCACATCATAAAATGTCAAATTATCGCGTAATCAGCTATGCGAAACGTTACTGTAATTATGATAATAAATGCGGGATACTAGTTACATTAATGATATATATTGCAAAATACTAGCACATCATATGACCGGTGTGAATCAGATCGCTCGCGTGTGTGATTACGCGCGCTTGTACCAGTATATCGCAGATGCATGCGTGTCACAAGCGAGCCGCTTTAATACTATGCAAGCCACATTGCAAGCGCAGCGATTAATTCGTGATGAACTGTCAATAAAGGAATATCACAGAATATAACCAGATCAAGCAAACGAAGCGAAAATCATCGGAATTTAAGTCATCGACATTATTCGATCATCTGGACAACAGTTTGCGTTCAACGTTAATAAAATTAATTATTTAATCAGTGCTCTATGCATTCTTCGTTATTTTATACGAGTAGAGTTTCACATATTGATGACTGTGATGTTAAAAAAAGAAGACTAGGGGGAGAAAAGAGGGGAAGAGGAGGAAAGAGGGAAAGAGAAAGAGAAAGAGAGAGAGAGGGAGAGAGAGAGAGAGAGCTAAAAAGAGAAGAAAAATTCAGGAGATTTACAGCAATAGATGAAAACGGATATATGGGGATTTTTTCTTCTCTTGCGTTTTTTCTCCGCTTTGCGGCTTTTGCGAAGATGTATTATTGCGGAACGAGACAGCTTGTATACCGCAAATATATATCGAAAATTGCAACAAACCGCATATAAAGTACCGCACTGTTTAAATAAATCGTTTCTCCTCTCCACCGCAATCTATCAGTGCGCCTCAGCCGTCGCACCTTCGCACGCCGGATAATTTATTGCAGTGTGCATCGGTGCCGCCAACAATATAACCAATCTGATACGTACAATGCAGTGGCCGATGCGCCAATAAATATGGATGGAGTAGTAATAAATTATGGCCCGAAAAGACGATTAGAGAGGACGCGGCTATAAATTACCATAGATATATCGCAATCGCGGTTTACGACTGTGCCTTATGGTCCCTTCCCATATCCTTCCCACATATGTCCGATAATATGGATATTTCTCGACCTTTAATCCGTTTACCTACGAATATTCATAGCGATATTTTTAGCTCGTTCGTTTGGATTACGATAGCCTCCTCGCGATATCGTCCCTATCGATAAATACCAAATTCCGATAATAACGTAATTTTTTTTCGTCGAGACAATATGTCAAGGATTATTATGGTGGTTTTTATGGTGTACAAGGCATCGCAAATTTTATTTGCAGTTATCGGCAATTTCATTAATAATTATCGGCAAATTCGTTATTCATATGTCGTTTTAAGGTCTTTTGACAAAGCGAAAAAACTTTGTATAGAACATTATTACAGAAATTTATGAAAATACATTCTATTGCGTTTCTATCCTATTTTTTTTGTACCACAATAGCTCTGAAATATGGCTTATTTCATATATTAACCCGTTTCAGACGAAAACGCCACTCTCGGTACACCGCTCTTTGGCGGCTCATAACTAATACTATTTGTGTCTGAAAAATTCGAGAGGTACATATTTTTATAGTTTAAGATGTGCCCTTTCTGATAGTGTCCATAAAATTTCTCCAAAAAATTGTTAATTATGGAAAAAAACAGTTTAAAACAAAAAAAACATGATTTTTTCGCACTTTTTTTTTTTAAATCGAATTCTCAAAGGGTTTCCTGTCTGCAATGACCCTAGAACCCCACTAAACGGTGGAATAAACGTTTAAACTTTAATAATATGTGGTTTGGAGATCGATTTTACTCCTTAATGTATTCAAAATGGCGCCTAAACTGCAAAATTTTCGTGAAAACATTCATGAATTTTTTATTGAAAAATGATGCATTTTTACGAAAAATTGTCAAGAATAAAAAGTTCTTAAAATCACTCAAAAAATGCACTCGAATTTTTTGAAAATATTTCGAGCAATTTTTTTGATTTTGTAGATAGTCAATTTTTGCAAAATTGAAAAAATTGCTCGAAATATTTTCAAAAAATTCGAGTGCATTTTTTGAGTGATTTTAAGAACTTTTTATTCTTGACAATTTTTCGTAAAAATGCATCATTTTTCAATAAAAAATTCATGAATGTTTTCACGAAAATTTTGCAGTTTAGGCGCCATTTTGAATACATTAAGGAGTAAAATCGATCTCCAAACCACATATTATTAAAGTTTAAACGTTTATTCCACCGTTTAGTGGGGTTCTAGGGTCATTGCAGACAGGAAACCCTTTGAGAATTCGATTTAAAAAAAAAAAGTGCGAAAAAATCATGTTTTTTTTGTTTTAAACTGTTTTTTTCCATAATTAACAATTTTTTGGAGAAATTTTATGGACACTATCAGAAAGGGCACATCTTAAACTATAAAAATATGTACCTCTCGAATTTTTCAGACACAAATAGTATTAGTTATGAGCCGCCAAAGAGCGGTGTACCGAGAGTGGCGTTTTCGTCCGAAACGGGTTAACATGTATATAAAAGAACAAAAGAATTAACGCATAAGATAAAAACCTGCTTACAAGTTTTCTTCAAATAAATGCCTCGTCAAAAAAATTGATTTAATATAGAATTTCCCTGACAATCTACAGATAATAGATTTTTCCCAACAAAAAGCAATTTTTCTCACAAAATAACGATAAATGCAAATAATTATAGTTTACTCTGTACTTACAAAAAAAACCGAAGTAAAGTACGAGCTAAACGTAATATAAAAGAGAAAAAAAATATTTCCTTCGAGCCGGATTTGAACCAGCGACCTATGGATATCTCTCTCTCATCGACCCGACTACAGTCCACCGCTCTACCAACTGAGCTATCGAAGGCTACGTGAGCGACGTGAAATTTAACCTTCACAAAGAACAGTTAAACGTATTTTTCCTTATCAAATTGAAAGAGATATCGCGTAACAAAAAAAAAATACGGCGATACTTCCATTGAATGTGAGTAACCTAATATTAAACGCGATATCATTACAAAATGTATATGCATTACGCGTATGTATAATACGAATAAGTGTATATCAATTGAACATGATTGCATTCCTGCGAAGTAATCGGATACCGCGGCATTGAATCAGACATGCTCAACTCAGCTTTGCAAAGTATGCGTCTTTTTTTGCAATGCACATGCGTTATACACGTCGTCAATCATGCGTGCAATGACACAAGTGCCAATTGCATTCAGATACGTTTTAATTATCCAACGAGAAATTTCACAAGAACTCGCCGTAGAACGAGAATCTATTGCACTGAAGTATCCATTATAAAATCCGAAATCGACCCGATTTCTCATCGAATTGTGTAAACAAAACACTTCGCGATACGTCGTCCTTCATCGCGCGGGCGCGCGCATACACACCTGATCACGGTGACGGGACGATAGGTAAAGTTAGGTTATAAATACAAGCAGTCGGATTGATGTTTCGTACGTATACGCAACGCGCGATGGTTCTTGCGAATCGCTTAAAAAATCCGGCGATGACGACAAGAGAAATCTACACTTATTCGTACGTAACGTTACTGGATAACCTCGAAAGTCACTCACCGGAGACGTAGCGTCCGCTGTCAATCGTCGTTTCCAAGCCGCTCGTCACCGAGTGTGGAGTAGTCCTTCGGAAGCAAGTCGTCACATCGCATCATCTCCATAAAATAGCTCTGACAGCCTTGCTACAGTCTTCCGTTCACACATATTCACACGTCACGTCAAAACAAGTACAGACACTTCGCGACCTCTGAGAGTTCGACATATATGCATAAGATGGTTGATCCTTTAGTCACATGATGGCGCTAGTTTCCTGCGCACCGATACCGCGCAAAGTTACTCACTCCACATTTGAGGATATGGCGTCGTATTTTATTTCCAAATCACTGTATATCTTTCTTCTCTCGTTATCAGATATTTGATTACAAATATCTGATACGAAGCACAATGTCGCTCGCTGAAACCTTCGGATGGTCACTCTATAATACGAACGCGCGATGCTTTATTCGGCACTCCCGACGAGACACTCACTTTCGCGATCGTTTAACGATATTTTGTCACGAAAACGCGCGGAACTTACTTTCGGCACTCCCGACGACGAATAATTCGCGCGCGAGACTCTTCGACAAGCTAAAAGTTCAATGAGGCAATTTCGGAGCCGCCATTATGTGACGATCGCGCGACATTGTACTCGACATTCCGGACGACACTGTCCACTTTCAACGGCTGTTAAACGATATTTTACTGCAACACACGTACGAAGCTTACTTTCGGTATTCCTGGTAACGATTAATCGTACACGGAGCTTAGCTTGGACTAGCCGCGAAAAATCGCGAGAAACATGGAGCTGCCTTTCGAATACATACGCGCGCCTCGAATATTCCGTAACTGAATGGCGCTGCGCGATATTCGATGTATACGCGCGATATGCGCGAACTTCACTCAGCACTTTTAACGGTCTCTCCGCCATATATATATCTTCCATGACTATTTAACGATATTTTGTCACAACGGATGTAACCAAATTTATTTTTAGCGCTGTCGATAACGACAGTTCGTGCTCAAGGCTCAAGGCTTTTTCGGTGGGTAGAGATGAAAAATGCAACAATTTGGACTTCGAGTCGTTGTAAGGCTTCGCAATGCACGATATTTTGCTAATCGCTTTCAACAGTCCGATTCGTAAGATACTCACTTTTGGTGGACTATTTCGTGATGTTTTGTCACAAGACACGCACGAAACCGCTTTTTAACACTGCCGCCGAAGGTAAATCACGCGCGATATCCTTCGACGAGCCGAGATCGCGAAAAGTACGGGACGAGTTAACAACTCCAACTTGCTTATACCGTGATGAGTTCCGTAATTGAACTGAAAATTGTTATGATTGAGATCCTCGAAGTGCGATAACATATCGATTTGTGATATATCGATATTCTCGAAGGGTATTCTCGCTGCTAAGGGTATATTTGACGAGACCGACAAACCGATATTTTGAGATTCTGTATTTATGAGGTTTCCTTACTTTGATAAGTTTATGCCTTTTGTCCGCGTTAAATATATTGTTATAATCACGCAAATCCTGTGTAATCCGTTGTTTCTCCTTAATTTGCGTAAACTTTATCTAATTTCAGATACTTGTAACGTCATCTATTGGATAGAGTGCAAACTTGACTGCAATAATCTATTCTTGAATGCAACGCGTGTCACACTTCTTCACCTTCTTACGTTACTTTCATTTTGGCAACATTTATATATATATATATATCGTGTGAACATACGTTCTATGATGATCCCGCCGTACTACAGTGTCGCGATCAAGACGTTTCCTCTCCGACAGAACGCGTATCACACTCGCTTATTGAATTTATCTGATGTAAAAGAACACGCGCAACATTTCCGTGACGATGAAAGCTCGAAGCCTTGGTCATTAATGAGAAAAATCCTATCCAAGCAAGACGCAACGTAACCTCTACAGTAACCACGCTTGGCTGTTCATTGACAGCAGGTAGCGGTTATTAATAACAGACATTCCTGCGATCATTTGATTCTGCAAACGCAACGCAAGATGAAATTTAATCGCGATAAACAGATATTAAAATGAATGTCGAGACGTTGCGGCGTAATTTTTAAACGCCGGAGAATGCGAGCGGCGTAAAATGGAGCAAAACGTAACAGAGACGAATTTATTGAATCAAGATGAACAAGCGAAGAAAGAAGAGTCATGGTTGATGGCTCAAAGTGCAGATGAAAACCAACAGCAGCAGACACAAAATACATCCATATTCTACAAACTTGATAATAACACGGGTAAAACTCAAATTATGTTTCTAAAAATACAGTTTCCTACTATTATTGTAAGACATATTTACTACTATCTTTTTATTTTGTTTAGTATCTACGGGTGAGTTGAGTGAATTGCCAGCAAATACAAAGTGGTGGAAAGACACATCTACCGAGGATATAAAATTAACATCAGAACCTGTAACTATACTTGTAGAAACTTATCCATTAATAGGTATATTTCATATTATTTCAGATATATAAGAATATTTATACTCCTACCATATTATCTTATCTTTTAAAATATTCTATATAAATATTGACTTTGATAATTTTATTATAAAGTAATAACTACTCTATTTTTTTCACTACATAGTTATGATCCAATAATAACAAATATCTGATTGTTGCAGAACGTGCTGTGGATATACAATCATCAGATTTACCTCAAAACTCATTAATATTGAATGATGTTTCTAGAAAAGAATCTATGAAAAAATTAATAAAATGTAAACAAAAGAAAGCAAGATCATTAAAAGAGTCTAAAGAATCTATAAAACGTGCAAAGCATCCTGAGAATTGGAAAGTAAATGTAAAGAAAAATGCTAGATTAAGAGGAGAGGAATATATTGGAGTTGGAGGTAATTGCTGAATAGACATAAATAAACAGTATGTAGTATATGACGAAAGATGATAATCAATAATAATAATCGTTTATGCTTTATTTTATTTAGGTAAGATAGTACCAGCTAAGACAATGGGACCACCCTGTAATTGTCGCATGCACTGTGCAGATAAGATAGATGAGGAGGAACGCGAAGAATTGCATAAAGTCTTCTGGAAAACGTGTACGTGGGAACAACGTAAACAGTATATCGCGCTCTCTGTCAAAGAATCCCCGAAACAGCGTACTCGTTGTCGCGGTAATGTCAAGTCGGAGCATCGCCGGCAGGTGACATTTACTTATTCTCTCTTGTTGAAGGGTGAATTTATCACTGTGTGCAAGTCCATGTTTCTCAGCACATTCGCAGTATCCGAGAAATTCGTGCGACATGTGATGGATAAGAAACGTACATCGCCAGGTGGTATTATAGGACCAGATCAAAGAGGCAGGCATACACCGAAAACAAAGAAAAGTGAAGATGTAAAAGATCGAGTGCGCGAACATATCAAGTCTTTCCCGGCGGAGAGATCAACGGATTCTAAGGATCGTTCTGGTAAATGTTATTTGGACTCGAGATTGAGCATAGCTGCAATGCACAAATACTATGTCTTAAAGTGCAAACAAGACGGTGTGCCCGAAAGTGATATAGTGAAAGAAAGTTATTACAGAGAAATGTTTAAGACAGAATTTAATCTCGGATTTAAACGCATATAAATTAAAGAAAAAAAAATATTGCCGGACATTAGTATGAGCGAAGAAGAATGTGAAAAACAGATTCTCTAGTTATACAACAAAATTACCGTTTTCAATTTAAGCTAGAAATTATAGATTTATTAATATAATATTTATAAACTTGTTACACTTGGCATTAGTTTAGATATTTTACCTCATTTAAGGTCATTTAAAATATTTACATTACATCATTTAAAATATTTACATTAGATAATAAAATGCCATTGATTACAATGGTAACTTCCATTCTTCACAGCAAGTATAACACACACACACACGCACATACACACACACACACATACACACACACACAGACATATACATATAATACATATTGCAATTTGTATGTTTTACCTTTTCAATAGTAAGTACCTTTTCAATAGTAAGTTTGAGATCTTACTATTTTTTAACTGATTATATTATATATACATAACAGTTCCTATTATAAAAATTAAAAGAGAAAACAAAAACATATAATTATTAATAACAATATTAATAATAATAATATTAATAACAATTTAATTAATAACAATATAATAAAAATAAGATTTAATATTTACATCTCCAGAAGAATATGGTAATTTATTATTTCAATCTTTCAATAGATATTTAATAGATATCTACAATTATCTACATTCGCATATCATTCTTTGTTAGTGATAAGATTGTTATTATATAATAAGATTATCTTTATGATCATTATTATTTTTATTTCTTTCCGTTCTGTGAACTGACTTCTCTACACCGAAGTGTTGCGGCTTCCACAGCACCGATTATTGCTGATCTCAAACCGTGCTGTTCTAAGTAATGAATGCCAGTTATAGTGCTCCCTACAAGAAATTTAAAATGCAAACACATATCGATTGTAAGGAAATAGGAGTTATGTAAAACGGTTTTGACCTGCCGGCGAAGTTACATCATCTTTAAGTTGACCTGGATGAAGGTTCGTCTTATGAATCATAGTGCCGGCACCTAGAACGGTTTGTGCAGCAAGTTTATATGCGATAGGTCTAGTAAGACCCATTTTTACACCACCATCGGCCAATGCTTCAATCATCATATACACCTGAAAGAAAAATGATTCCCATTATCACTCTTACAAATTCATTACATTAATTATTCCATCAGGTAACTATTTTCTTATGTAGAGATTGATAAAAAAGATTTATATATCTGGAGATTTTATAAAATTGTGTTTTAGACATTTTCTTATATATAAAAAGTAAATGGTGTTAACACAATAAAAAAGCGTTCACTAACATAAGCAGGACCAGAACCAGCCAAGGCGGTAACTGGATCGATGAGGTTTTCCTGGATTTCTTCGCAGAAGCCTACGGCGGAAAATAGCTTCTCCGTGATCTCGGCCTCCTTATCACCGGCATGTTTTCCGCGAGCATATACTGTAGCGCCGCAACCCACCAAGGCCGGAGTATTCGGCATTACCCTTATCACGGGTGTTCCTTCTGGAAGTGCCTGAAATGAAAACTTTTGCTATAACATGATGGTACGTTTTTTTTTATAAATAATTTTTATAAATAATGTCGATATTGAGCTGCGTGACATTAACGGATCTCTCTTCTTAATGACAGAATGTATTACCTCTTCTAACAACTCTAAAGGGATACCCATGGCGATGGAGATGAGTAACTTCTTACTATTCTTCAACTCTGGGAGGACCTTCGGCACAACTTGCGGCTTTACCGAGAGGATCAGGATATCCCCATGATTGATGATGGGACCATTAGTGAACACGGTATTTGATCCTATTTCCTATAAACATTTATACACAATTAATTACATGCGGGATGTGTATTTAATAGCATATTTGATTTATGATAAAATATCTCCCGTCTGAAAGATAAAATCTATTTTGTGAAAATGGGATTGAATATTACTTAAAGGTCATACATTTTCCTTGTATAATGAATATATGTATTAATTTTGACCTTTCAATTATTTTTGAGCCTTTCAATTATTCAATTATTCGATTATTTCAATGCCTTTCGTAATGAATACCAGTTTGAGTTAAATATATAAATGTTATCTCTGTACATTTTTCCTATGATAAGCGCTTAGAGGAATATTTCGTACATTTTAAAGACTTCTTATATTTACACAATATACATTACACAATATACATTTACAAAATATATACGACAGAAAGAGTTTAACACGAGAAAATTACGTATAAAATTCTTAACGTTCATCACAGGTAGTATGTACGAATATTGAATGTTTGAAAATTTCATAAATATAAGCACGATTACAAAAAGACTAAGGGCCGGTTGTTCCAACTTCTTGGTAAGTTAACTGATAGTTAAATCATATGTTTGTCTTTGTTTTTCCTTCAACTTAGACAAAGACAGACATAATTTAACTATCAGTTAATTTACCAAGAAGTTGGAATAACCGGCCCTAAATGGCTACTGATAAGAACACAAGAATGCAGTTAGTTTGTAAGCTATATTCGTCTTATCGCGTAGTTTAATAAACATCAGTAGAAGTCAACCATTTGACCATTTTTTTTTCTAGATGAATATACACCAAGCAAACTAAAAACGAATAATGGATGTTGTTTATATTTTTCTACATTAATTAATTTTAAATTAAACTAATAATTAAACTAGTAGATATTTTTAATTAAATTGCCGCGACAGAGAGAGAGAGAGAGAGAGAGAGAGAGAGAGAGAAAAAGAAAGTCAAATTCAAGATAATATGCAATATCACTAAATTTAATTCAAGATAATATGCAATATCACTAAATTTAATTCAAGATAACATGCAATAATAATGCTGATTAATAACTGCACTTAATAATGCTGATTATATCTTGTTGTATTTTTCTTCCTTTATCAAATGTTCTTGAAAAAGTGGACATAATCCTCCACGTTGTGATGATCCTTGATTCATTATAAAAAATAATCGCGTTTTATCATTTGAAAGATATTCACTTATCGAGCAATGATTTTTAAACAAAATGAGCGTCATTCAATTTATTTTCACAATACTATTATTTTACCTTAAATGTCTCTATGCTTCCCGTATCGTTGGGGAGACAACTTGCCAACATCATATCGCCTTTGCTTAAACCTACAAAATAGTAACATTTCGCACATTAATTCCATTATAAAAAGAATAAGATACAGGAAACATTCCGGCGAAATTTCATTATTCGAACACGTAAACTGTGCATTTACAAAAAGAGATGTTTACCTGCTCGTATGAAGCCCTTCGCGAGTGCTTGGGCCATCTTTCCTCCGCCGAGAAAACCGATTTTCAACATGTTTGTATCGATGTTCTGCGATGTCCTTGTCTTTCTCACCTCGCCGTCCGCAAGAAGTTGATCACTCACTGCCGAATAAAAAAGAGAGAAAAATTATCGACTTCAATCTGCATCGCGTGTATTGTGTTGCGTCGTCACGGAATCTTTTACGTTCTTTCATATTCAATATTTTTTACTCAAATGTTGATTTACCATTAGATTATGAGTTTGCCTATTTAAATTTAGATATTAATCTTGTCCTATGCAATTTTTCAGGCGCTAAAGATGATATTGTAGTTTGATAATAAAAAGAAAATCCGCAAGAATTTTAGTAACAATCTAATATAATGATACAAGAAACAAGAATGACGAAAGATGAATAAAGAAGTGACGAATTGCGTGACATGACACTAGGCACAAACAGACTTCAGTTTCTTATTCCACGATACGAACGACTGAATTATCCGGAGTAAAGTCTTGCGAGCTCCTCTCGTTCGTTCCAGCGCGATCTAGCCGCGGCGACACATTTGTGCACAGCTTTAGAGTACTGATACGAAGGCGATAAGGGGACGAGTGATGTTTATAATTTTCGCGGAGTAAGTGCATCAATCTGACACTCGCAGGCGATAGTTATATAAATAATGACGTACTTTTAAGCATATATCGCTTCTTCCTACGTCATTTTACACAATGAAAATAATTTGTGTCTTTGTGTGTATATCATGTGAGATACCAATAATCGTATTATGCGTTCACAAGAAATACAAACATGTAAATTCCGAGCTTCCTCGACTAGCAATCTCGTTCCATATCATATTTTAATTGATTTGCAATACAAATCATATCGAGACGACGCAGTTTATACTGCGTTGTAATAAAAAAAGTGTTAAGTCAGTCTCGCCACGACGACTCGTGGTGACGGTGAACCTTGTACACTGTCGCGGATATTTTACGAGCAACAAAAGAAATATTGTCGTCTGCGGTTTCATTCTTGTCATCTTCGCTCGAAAAAAGAAGCGACAGATGTTTAAACTTAACGAAATAAAAATATTCTTTTGTTATTTAAAACTATTTTATATTTTATTTCTCTCATGCATTTATTTTTATATTTATATTTATTTCTTTTTATATATTTCATGCAATGGCAAAGGACGAAATAGCATATACTTTTGATATTAAATTTAATTTAAGAAGAAAGAAATTGAACGCGCGAATTAGCAATAACTTGTGGCAGATATCTCAAGTTGATAATCAAAGGCGTGAAAGTGAGTAGGAATAATTAAATGAGAGATAAAGATTGGTGGTGATACGGAAAGTGGAACAAGACGAAAAAAGTCACAATATATCGGATGACAAGTTAAAAAATTGTACTATATGCTAATATGAAGGGGGGAACATTTAGGATTTTCATTTCATTTTATTTCTTTACGATTTTTTTATAAAGGAGCACTGTGAAATATAAAAATCTATAAATCCTATTTGAACAGTTTATCATTAACAGTTTATTAAAGCCTATTTATTGAAGTTATAAAGTAACAATCTAAAAAATTGAGGAAGAAAAACCGACAATTATAAAGGATACTTTGGTTTTATTTTCTTAACGTACGCGTTATCCAATAAAATATAATGAAAGACACGTGGTTTATACATATAAATGGCATGTAAACATTAAGCGTTTAAAATATTAAAATAATTAAGAAAATGTTACTTACCATTGCGTACATTTAAATTCCGCCGAACTCGACGACTCGACCTAATCAAACTTATTGCCTTCAGACCGACAGTCATCTTTGGTTTTGCAAAATGAATGTAAGCGATAAATAATATTTCTATGTTCGATGAACACGAGCGATAAGAAGTAATGTTGACTCAATGACTTTTTTTGCTAAATCCAAATCTCTGTAGAAATTCTGAAAATAATTAAATGGCATTTAGTATTACATTTAAAATAACATAGTGCACATAGTAAAATTTATTACATCGATCATTTGCATGTAAATAGAATGATATAAATGTTAACAACATGTAAAAAGTATTAGTTTTACATCATATACATTAAGATGATACAGAAAGAAAAGATTCAAATGTAAATCCTGAGTTAATTTCAAGAGGGAAATGTATCATCAATATATATGACGTATATCACATTTTAATACGACCCTTAATGATTAATTAATATATGATCTTCAATCGAAGTACAAGCATCTTATGATGAGATTTGCAAGAGCAATTGCTAGCTACGGCTCTGTGTACAGATTTCATCGCAGCATTTACGTGGCATCAATGATGTCTCGATTGCATCTTATCAGTGTGTTGCGGATCGACTGACTCTAGCAACTAGTAACGGGTAGTCAAGTTGAAACATGAAAGAAAGTTGAAATACTCACATGTCCGTGATATATCGCACAAAAGATATAGATTCGACGACGAGCAACATGCGGCGAGATCGCACATAGATGGCTGCTGATGTTGTCACACGTTACGCCCGTAGTAATCGATGCAGCGTTTTCTCGACCACGTTTTCTCTCGTTGATGATCTAGTTACTACATATTCGACGATTTTCGGGCATCCTTATATAAGCATGCACTCGATCTGTTTATGTATCGAAACAAATAGGATTATAGTAGGGCTATCTAGAAGCGGAAAGTTACCAACAAGTCACCATCCCCACTTCGTTATCATTCGAGACATTGTGGATCTTAAAATTAAGAATGACCAATGATATAATAATAAAATATATAATTCAGAAACAGATATGTCCACACTCATTAGTGTTGGAATTTTACAACTTATAATTTCATAGCTTACAACTTTACAGAGTTGAGAATATTTACGTCAAAAGAACTTGACAATTTATTTCCTATCTAGATAGATTTAATTAATCATTAGTTAGTGGAGGGAGAAATATTCGATTTGTACTACGCAACAAACTTTAATCAGCTACTAATTATTTAATCGTTTCCGAGACTATACTCTTATCGCGAGGGATAGAAAAATAAAGTGTCTGTACAGAGTTTGAAACATTTTATTGAAAAAAATATTACAATTCATTGTTACATTTTGTTTCTTTTGTGATTTTGTAATACGAGATAATCGACAGCAAACTCGAAATAATATCGATACTGACGAAGATTGCATTCCTCTATGAATTCCGAGTGAATACGCAGATGTCGCTGGGAGTAACATTGCAAATTGCAATGTGAGATGCAATTCAGTTGTTTTATCTTATCTAAATAGTTATTTATATGATATAATTTGCGAATAGCAGCTAAATTTTATCATTGCTTGTACAACAAGATTTGAAAGATACGGAGGGAGCGAATACTCTCAGCTAGCCAATATTACACCAAAAGCGTAATTGGCCAATATTACACGATAAAATTACATAGATTACATAGATTGTATCAAAATACGTTAAAAGTTTAACGAAATGAACGAGAACTTCACTAAGAGAATATCTTCTATAATATATCATACAATTGTCTCTATGTGTTGGCCGAATATACAAAAAACTGTATAAAATACTTGAGTATTTCTTGCATTTTTAACCCCGGTCGTATACGAAGGCAACATGATACGAAAGTGTCGCGAGTTGCATCGAAATGCTTTAACGCCGACGGCGATATTGTAAGCGTAAAATTTCCTTAGCATCTCCCGCTGTCTTCAGGATCGCGTCGAGTCGCCCACTTCCGTGGCGATCTCATAACATTCGAGTCATCGTCAAGTCATCGTCGAGTTATCGTCAAGTTTGAGGCGCGAGAACGCGCGTCATGTTATACGACGAATTTCGTGGTCGTTGACGGAAAAATCTATGATAATTTTTCGGTTTAAAGTTGTAATGTAATATTAATATTCATTAATTTGCGTCGTATTGTAAATGAGGCTGAGGAATAATTCCATGAGGCTTGACTAAACCATATTGCAACCGAAAACGAATAAACCCAGCAGACGTGTCGATAACGGTGAACGTTATTTTCTCGCGCTGGAAAACATCTTCCTGGAGAATGTTCCCATCCATCCATATAAACCGTTATCAGTATCAAGACTAAGAAAATTGCGTGAATAAGCGTAAATCATCCAAATGAAAGCTAATTACAACTTGTACGTTGCATTATTTTCGTAAAGACATCTTTATGCAACAGTACATATAATGATTTTGAACTATAATTAATTGATTGTGCATTGTGATTGATGTGTCATTAAAGATTTTTCGTCATTATAATATTTTACATTGTTACATTATTGATCGCTTACTATTGTTACATATATATTTATGTAAACGTATGCGTTGTAAAAAATATTTTATCTAATCATGTCGTTAATCTTGCTTCTTGCTGCTCATAATAAATTTGTTGCTACTTATGATGAACTCATAGTAAAATTATTATTTGTCACATGCGATAATTATTAATAATTGTGAAAAAGAAACTGAACCACGTATTTCTTGGAACGTATTTGCAAAGTTATTTCTTAAAATTATATAAGGTAATCTGCAAAATTATTTTCTATATAATTTCTATATAATTTATATTTAATTTAATTTTTATATAATTTTATATTTCTTTTTTTGTAAATATATGTACAAAATGTAAAAGATAACCTTGATATAACATGAATTATCACGAGTTATTGCGTCGATAAAAGTTTTTCTTATCTCGTACTTTGTTCGCGAGTCTGTCGAACCATTTCTTTCCTAGATCACATAACATACATAATTACACACACGTTGATAAGCGTACAAATTAGCCGCTAAATGCTTATGTTAAAGCTATTTTTAAATTTTTACATCAAAAAGAACTGGACGATACGATAATTATGTTTGCGCTTAAGTTTTCGCGGAATACATCTGAATAATTGTCGGTGTACTATGACCCCTCGCATATATATGAATAAAAAGAATCAGAGAGATAATCAAATATACAAACGTGTATTTTATATGACATACTCGTATAAAATCTGACTGTAAAAGCTAAAAAATTTAGATCCCTTCCTTTTCTTCATTATCTACACTTTTATCAAAGCTCGAATTATTATGAATATTCGAAACAGGTATGTCCGTATCGACGACGATAATGAATATCCAACGGGTATCGCATAATCATATTGACAGTAAGTCGAGTTGCATTTTGTCACGATATCCTGTCTCATCTTGGTAACAGGTATATGCACTGTAGAGAATAACCGTTAATTATCGTTAGTCGTCGATAGATACTTGGCGAATGCACGTACACTAACCTAAAACCGCACGCGACTGTTCGATCTAGCATAATCTATAAAGACGTGACGTCCCTGCCCATTTCACTCGCGAGGATGCCCGAGCCAAGCCGAAGTTAAATTGTACAACCGCGCACGCTCATAAAAGTATTTTTCGTATATCGTAACGTTCAGTCGCTTCAGCGATACCGTGGAACGAGCAAAGTTCTGCCATGCGGTATGTTCATTCTATCTGCACATAACATATATATAAAGAGATAACACACATGCAATTCGTCGTGAGATATAATATGCCGCCGTCCCCGAGTGCAATCATCTGAGCGCAGTGTGCAAACAGGAGCGAAGAGCCAAAGCGCAGTGACATACGCGTGCCTACGAACACACACACTGTACCGTTCTTCTATCCATGTGCCGCTTACTGAACTCGATACACCGACGACCATAATAACGCAAAGCGGGGGCTTATTATAGCGTTATATATTGTGTTGTCATCGCGCGTACACGCACCGAAGATGCCCGTGCGACTCAGCAAGTTCGCCATCGACGGAACCTGCGCGGACTTCTCTCATCCGTGGACGAGTTCATGCATCAGCTCGAACGCTGGTATTGGTCTAGATGCCCTCGAAGAGAGTCTGAGGATATATGTGACTCTTTACTTAGTACGTACGAACTCTCAGAGCCATCACACGTAGAAAAATTTTAACCGTAACCGTAAGGTTGTAAGAAAACTGACCAATCACAGTCGATTATTATAATGTCACAAGAGAATGGATCGACTGTGATTGGTCAGTTTTCTTACAACCTTACGGTTACGGTTAAAATTTTTCTACGTGTGATGGCCTTTAGTGTGCGTGTTGTTTTGCGATTGGGATTTTACATGAAACATATGTACGCATAAGATGCTCTCATCATGCCTTATTTTAAGCGCACAATCTCTCGATATCATTTATCACTTGCTGATCGACAAACTATGTGAAATGTAACATTGAAATCTCGCGCTCTGTTTCCTTACTTCGGTTAATCGTTGATCTTTGACCAGCAATATTAAAATGAGTTTTATATAAGTTTTATGTAAGAGTTATATAAGTAATTATTATTCATAATAAATAATGATTAATCATATTGTTTGATATTTAATCTTAATCTTTGCATGTTGAGATTCAAGGATACACGTAAATATGTAAGCAAATAGATGAAATCCTTGAAGTATTCTTTATCTATAAAATTTTTATTTTATATCCCATCTTATATCTATAAAATTTTTATCTTATATGAAACTAATCTCAGTGATAATAATGTCAACCAGAAATTTATGTAATATACTTACAATACAAAATTGTACTTTTTTCAATCTATTGGTTTGTTTCAATCAGTTTTTAGTCGATTATATTCGTATATATTTCGATTAATCGATTAATCGATTAATTTAAATAGCAAATTTGTCACGATGCACACTTTCGTAAATTTAAATCTTGAATCGAATAGTTTAGAAAGGCTAACCATGAAAACTCTATCAATGCATTTGTTGTTTGCGAATTTCGATGAATTTCGATTAAATTAAATGATCTTAATAGTTGAAGATTACATTATTTAATTTGGCCATAGATTAAAGTCATGTTGTTGGAACGGATTTGTTGGACATTTATTGAATTAATTATTTAATAAATAATTAACAATAATCTCTACACAGAAGCTTTGAAACTGAATATTAGAATCCAATTATTTTATTTACGATTTTTCGTCATAATGAACAATTTATCGCAACAGTTTAATTTTTAGAATGCAAAAATCATGATTTAGCAATTTAACATATATACAACTGTTTTATTCTCTGTTGCTGACCTTGGTCTCTATTGTTTTAGCTTGCTTTCTTAATGAGAAGAAAGAAACCAACAAAGGAAGACATCAAGAAAATTATATTAGACATTTTACAATCTACAGCATTTCTTACATGGAGTGGATTTTCCTACTCATTGTTTGTCTGTTTATTAAGGTGAGTATAACAATTAAATATTATTTATAATATTGCTTAATGAAATCCTCAGAAAACTTACCTCAGAGAATTTAATTTACAACCTCATACTTTAAATGTTAAATATTTATTAATATTCTTTTACATGAATATATAGTGTACTTATAAATTATTACTTACATATTATAAATATATTATAAATATTACAATATATATTGTACTCAAATAAATAAGATAAAAAGAAGGGCAATAATAAAACAATACATAAAAAAATTATTTCAGCCGACTATTGGGACATGTGAATATCTTGACTGTGTCTTATATTCCATCCTTTTTATCTAGTCTAACTGCTATTCTTATAGAAAGACCCTCTAGACGTCCATTATTGTGTCTCTATGTATCAAATATTGTAAGTAATTTTATAACAGTCTAAAACTATGGACACAAATTTTATTATTGTTTTCCATCAGGCGACAGAAACATTATTTAGAATGGGTGTATGGAGAGGCTACTTTTCACCTATTCCAAAGGGGGAAGTTTACATCTTTGCCATGAGTGCAACTGTGTTACTGTACTTTTTCCGCTCAAAAGTGAATAAGCAAGATTCTATATATAAGATATTGAGGTACTTAAATTTATATACTTATTGTATTTAATATTTCATTTTTATTGCATGCTTTATAAATAGATTTATTGCATAATTTATAAACGGATTGAAAAAAATAGATTAATTATTGGACCATATGAAGAAACTGAATATACCATAAAAGAAGATCCCAAAGTTTCTTTAGAAAATACCGAGGGTGGCATAGAGGAAAATAAAGATATACAGAAAAGACGGCAAAAGAATAAATTTGATATTCTACTAAAATCCTTTGAAACATATAAATATTTAATAAACATCTTGAAAACTCGTAGCAAACATGTCTCATGTCCACATCCTTTCAGCTGTGCACATTATATCCTAACGGTAAGAATAACAATATAAGAGAAAATAATCTCCCACAAACATAATATTGAAAATATTTTACATATTTTACCTTTTCATTTAAAGGGTAGTGTCAGAGCCTTCAGTTATGGTATTGGCGGGCAGTTAGCACTTAAACTAATTCTTCAATTTAAAAAGTTACTTCGTAATCCAAAATTAATAAAAACTACTATCTTTCAAAGAGAAAACTTAAATCTGGCTATATTTCTTGGAGGATATTCTGGCCTTTTCAGGGTATATTATTTTGTTGTTCTACGTATTAAATAAATAATAAAAATGAAAGATATTCAATAATGAAAGTTATTGATAATAGTATCTCTTGCGAATCATTTTCGTTTATCATTTTTTTCTGTTTTTATATGTAGCTAGTGTCATGCTTGTTAAGAAGAATTTTCCGCAAGGATTCGCATATTTATGCTATTCCTGCTGGACTTATTGCAAGTATAGCGTTTATGGCATATCCCAATAATGTTATAGCGTTATACTTTATGTGGAAAGCATTACAGGTATTATTATTATTATGCATTGTTTTTGTTAATATCCTTATATACATTATTATAACTCATACTATTCGTTTTGTTTTAGCTACTATGGAATAACGCAGTAGAAAGTGGAAAAGTACCTGAAGTAAAATGGTTCGTGATCTTATTGTATTGTCTTGGTACTGCACTTCTCTTTCATGCAGCTTTAATAGAACCACAAAACTTACGATCATCTTATTTTAAATTCCTGTATAATATGTCTGGTGGAAGGTAAGTAATGGCAATATGCCATTTTATAAAATTTACTCGATTCTATTATTCTCAATTTCATTTCTATGTCCATCCTAGGATAGCGGTAATGTCCCGAATACCGTTAGACATGTTCGGTTTAGAATCGAGTAAACATCTGCAAGAAGTACTCAGAAAAATGCATCTAACTGGTAAAATTAATTATTCGTTCTAAAATGCTTCTGAAAATGATAGGTCTTAGCAACGATACGTACCTCAGATTATTTTTCTCAGAAGCATACCTTTTTACCAAACCAAAGAAGAATAATATATTATGTGCGTCTAAATTTCTAAATTATGTTAAAATAATCGCAAGAGTCAATAAGATAAAACAAAATATATGTTAAATAGTATCCCGGGAAAAAATGATTATGTATAAACATATCTTTAACAGTCACATGTAATCATACATAATTATATATATCTATGTCAAAAAAATGCTGTTTTACAAATGTAACGAATATAAGTAAATATATTTTTATGTTATTCTTGTATATATATCATTAACTTATGTTATTAAATTCTTATATTATTGATGAAATAATTCTTATAGCAAATTATGATATCAATGTTTAACTGAATATTTTCCCTTTTCTTTTATTCAACAGCATTTTTCTTTAATATTTTATGAATCACAATTTTTTTGTGATCAATTTTTATGATCATAATCATATGATTTTATATAATTATATATTATCATTTTTTTCCGAGATATAAATAGCAATGCACATATTTATATATTTTTTGTATACATACATAAAACGAGTTTACAATTTTTATAAGTATCAATAAATGTCAATCAAGCGAATACTGATTTCACCGCAACTCTTGAGTATAATTTATTGATTTTAGTTTTATCTTTAAACGTGATGACAAAACTATTTGTGGTGTATATATTATCTAATAATTTTATAAGCGACAGTAAAAAATGCATATATCTGTATGAAACGCATGTATATATATATCATGTATATAGTATGTATATCTTTTGATATTTTATAAAATATATCGGCCTCTTCTCTTTTTAAACATATTTTAAAACAGTAATACTTAGATATTGTGATATTGGATAAACTTAACATTTTTATAAGAAATACGATTATATATAATTTAATATAAATTATTATGTATATATACATATATATATTATTAGTAATATATTATTAATATATAATTATACACATATATGTGACAGGCACATAAGGTAAAGGAAATAGGTGAATAAAGTTATTTATACTTGAACATAGTTATACTAGTTCTAATTATAATGCCTATATACAGGGTGATCTAGAAGTGTAAGATTTATTTTGTAAATGAAACAATGGAATTACCTTTAAATTATTTTTATTGCATCAATGTGTTCATTAGGAATGGGAATTTATGTATGAAAAACAACATCATCTAAATGACCGATTCTACATTTTTTACAAATTACTACTCGTTTAATAAAGTTTTCAATATCTTTTTGCAACATAAAAGGTTGAATCTCGTTAATTTTTCGTCGAATATTTTCCTTTCAGCGTTCCGTAATTTCAGGCTTATCTGTGTAAACTCGCTGCTTCAAATAACCCCAAAGAGAATAGTTCAGAGGCGTCAAATTGCAAGATCTTGGGGGCTAATTAATGTTACCGTTTCGCGAGATAACGCGACCGGGAAATTTCTCATGTAATAACTATGGTTTCATAAGCTGTGTGATATGTGCGTCATCCTGTTGAAACCACATATCACTCATGTGTTAATGTCATCTAGTTTTAGTGGCCATAAAAAGTTGGAGATCATATCGTGATATCGTTCAGCATCGACAATGACTTTTCAAGCTTTATTTTCAAAGAAATAAGGTCCAATAACACACCTTCAGTCCATAAGTCGCACCAAACTGTCATTCTCTGCGAATGTACATTTTTTTTATAACGAAATGGAGATTTCCTGTGCCCCATATGCGATAGTTCTGCTTATTAACAAAGCCTTTTAGATGGAAATGAGCTTCATCGCTGAAAATGATTTTGTTGCAAAAATCGATATCTGCTTCTTTATCCTCCAGCACCTAGTCGACGAATATGCGACGTTGTGCATGATCTGTCTGCTCCAATTCTTGAGTCAGTGAAACTTTATATATGTGTAATTGCAAGTCTTTAAAATTCGTTACGTAGTGCCGTATAAAAGATTAACTTGTTGCGAATGCCGTTAAATTGACATTTGCTGAGCATTCTCCGCATTTTCATTAACGGCCGCAATGTTTTCTATCGAACGAGCATTATGGCGTTGTACACTCGTGAACTAAAAGGTATGTGCACCGATTTTTTGTTGACTTCGGAACGCGCTCCAACTTGAGGAGAAAGACAACCACTGCTTCATACGTCAGCGCTGTCACTTATTACGAGAGCAGAAGGATGGCATATACGAGTGTCAAATAAGTAGTGATTGTGGCGTAGACACAAATGTCTTGGAAACTTTGAGTTATAATTGAAGAAATGAAGAAAACAAATAGTGCTTGTGAAGAAAAGTGATAAAAGGCTTCATAAAATTTGTAAAACAGTATATTAAAGGAGAGTATTAATTGTCTAATAATATTTTAAGTGAAAAATATTTTTAAATTTGAGTGTAAGTTAAAAAAGTTATAAACCATAATTTCTTTAATGTTAATAAATTTGTCATCGACGTTGAATGAATATATATATAATGCTATTATTTCCATAGGTGAGGAATTATATTATTGTGTTCAGCAGAAGTAAGTAGCAGACCAAGTTGAGTGATGAGTATCTTGTTAAAAAAATATCATTCGACTTGGTCTGCTGTTTATTTTTTATGAGCGCAATAACATAATTTTCCACCTATGTAAATGATAGCATTACATACATATTCATTTAACGTCGATGGCAAATTTATAGCTATAAAATTATTAACATTAAAGAAATTATGGTTTATAACTTTTTTTTTAACTTACACTCAAATTTAAAAATATTTTTCACTTAAAATATTATTAGACAATTAATACTCTCCTTTAATATGCTGTTTTACAAATTTTATGAAGCCTTTTGCCACTTTTCTTCACAATCACTATTTGTTTTCTTCATTTCTTCAATTATAGCTCAAAGTCTCCAAGACATTTGTGTCTACGCCACAGTCACTACTTATTTGACACTCGTATATGCCATCCTTCTGCTCTCGTAATAAGTGACAGCGCTGACGTATGAAGCAGTGGTTGTTTTTCTCCTCAAGTTGGAGCGCGTTCCGAAGTCAACAAAAAATCGGTGCACATACCTTTTAGTTCACGAGTGTACAAGCACATATTCATCACAAACTAAACCATCGTTCTCAAATTTATTCATTAACTTGCAAATTGTATTAGCAGATGGGAAATGTTTTCTTTAAAAAAAAATTTGTTTTAGAAATTTACGTTTTGTTTGCGTTATCGAACGCTGATTCTCATAAAAACATACTATACTACGATACGCACGCGCCGCTACACCGTATAACGCTCCATTTCAATATTTCTTAATCTCTAGAACAATTTTTGTTGGATTATTCTGTATACAGGGTGGGGGGTTATAAGTTTACAACCCGAAGTGTGAAGGTAGATTAGGTTAAGACAAACATAAAAGTCCCATATCGTTTTGCGAGATTCGCAATAATTATCGAGTTATTAATGACAGAAATCTGAGGAATGGGAGCGCGCCGATATAGATGATTGGAAAAGCGTTGCAGCTACTCAGGCCACAGCGCGGCCCACTCGACCCAACAACCACCAACTGTTGGCGGCGTGCGGCGAGACGTAGGTCCGGCGAGATAAAACAACGAATAGCGGTGCATTGTCTTTCCCCTCACCGCGCACCGGCAACAGTTGTTTGATCGACTGGGCCGTGCTGCGGCCTAAGCAGCTGCAACGCTTCTCCAATCATCTATGCCGGCGCGCTCCCACTCCTCAGATTTCTGTCAATAACTCGATAATTATTGCGAATCTCACAAAACGGTATGGGACTTTTATGTTTGTCTTAATCCAATCTACCTTCACACTTCAGGTTGTAAACTTATAACCCCCCACCCTGTATATGTAGAAATCTAAAGATAATCTTTCATGTGCACAGTGGGAGAAACTGTTATTTTTATTCATTATTGTAAAATACATTACTGTATTATTTTTTTTATGTTCAATATTAAACAGAGCTATATCACTTAAAACATAAATACTTCACAATGAAATTGAATTGTTTTAACAAATTTTACTATATATATCAAATTTATTTTATTTATTGATAAGTGGTATATTTCTTCATAACTTTCTATATAACAGTTATATATGTGAATGACATTTCAGATTTAACAAATTTTCCTCATAATTGAGATAATCCTGCTTCTTAGCAGTTTCTAATGCTTTCTTCAATATAACATGCGCGACATCCTCGTCACGTTTCCTCTTTCCTCTCTTCATTTGCAATACTTTTTTCCAATTAATACGGCTTTTCATTTTCAAATTCTTATTGTTCACAATACCAGCAATTATCTGCGATTCCATAATTGCAGCTGAATGATTTGGTAATTCTGGTTTAAGTAGTTCTAAACTTTCCAATGAATCTTGCCATGGCAATAAGCCAATAGGACAATTAGTCCATTGATAAGTGTCTAAAAATAAAATATTTCATTATAACCACCTAAAATTTTTATATTAACAGTAAATACTTAATAAAAGATTATTTACAAACATACCAAATGCTGCCTTCCAATGTAAATTGCGAATCGTTTTATCTGCTAACAGACAAGTCCTATCTTCATTACATTTTTCCTCATGCATTAATGTTTCATGTTCAACCATATTTGCACGGAGGTTGTCAACAGTGTATATTTTTTCGCTAATACTATGGTTTTCATCATTGTTATATTCTTGAGATGTGTAAATTTTCAGTACATTTAACAAATATCTTTTTGTATTCTCATCTATATCTGGTGTAAAAAATTTCAAAAGTGATTTTATGAATTCCACAGAGAATTCATTTGCACTCAATAAAAGTTTTGACATAAAATGTGTGTCAAGAAGAAAGCATGGTACAGTGCTTGATATGTCTATCCACAAAATATCTTGCAAATAAGGATATTTACTGTGTATATATACTTTGACACGCTGACTTAGATCTTTTGTAGACAATTGTTTTCCTAATTCATATTCCATAGTACGACAGACATTTTGAGCCAAGTCAAGTTGAATAAAACTATGAATAATAGTATTTAACCATAAAGCAACATATGTCTTCCTTTCCTTAATTTCATACTTTTCATTCAAGATGTCAACCAGCTTAAATATCAGCACTTTTAATAATTCTTTCTTATGCAATAAAATAATAATATCTTTCCAAAACTGTAGCATACTGGGTGGTATTAACTTATCATTCATTTCACATTCATGTTGTCCTTTTGGCAGGAAAATTTGTATAATATCTGAATCAGGTAAGAAAATTCTATTTCCGCACAATACTTTACAAATTGTATCATTTCTCTCAAGTACTGATAAGTTCTTCGATAAATATGCAGATATCTCAAATACAAGTAAAGTCTGTGCACCCCTCAAAGTGTAAGTTTGTGTATTTTTTATGTCTTTATCGATTTGTATATGTTTATCCTCAATATTATCTAAGTTTCTATTGTTATTGGACAACACATATTTCTGTAAATCTTGTAGTGTTTCCCTAAAATATATTAAAAAATAATTTAAATATAAAATGATTCGATTCTATATAAACTATATAAATTTTTTAGACTGTATAAATTCTTTTAAACTATATAAATTTAAAAGAAAACTATCATCCATTCAGATTGAAATAAACATACTGTAAGTTTTCATCTGGTAGATCTAATACAAATTTATAACCAGCATGAACATATAAACCAACACTTGTCCAAAGCTCAATTAGATCTCCAAAGGCCTGTATATTATTCAGATCTTCTTCCTCTTCTAATGTATTATCTTTCTTTGCATAACGTTTTTCCATTGCAGACGCTTCAGGAGCCCAATATTCCTCCTTCAAAAAGATTTTAATAAATATATATAATATATACATTATATACATTATATTTAAAGTATATACACACATACATGTAACCATTCAAGCAATACATTTATTGCTATTCTTAATACACCAAGAGGTTGTAATTCATGTCCATGAGCAGCATTGTGTCTTAGACCAACTATCCACTCAGGAATTTTCAATTGCTTCGCGATACGAAAGAGAGATGTTTGTTTCATATGTTCTATGGACGATATGTGATTTAAAAATCTCATTATCGCAGTGGAATACATTAAACTTAAATCATTCTCACAATACATTGGCAATTCTCTATTGTCAATCTTAGACGTCCAATCACGATCACGAAGGCAAACTTGTAAGATCGAGAGAGTATTGTCAACGCCTATCGGTAATTTCGGTATCCTGAAATAATCATTTTCATAACTGATCTATTTTTTATCTTGTGAATCAAACATGTAGTCATATTACCTGGCCTTCCATGCTAGAAGCGTTTCGTACGCTTTTGTCTGTTCTGCAGTATCGTTGGAGTAGATTTTCTTATAAGCATCGTGCCATTCGGCTCTTGAAATTAACAGATCGAATTAATTATTAATAAACGTTGCTTACTTCCCACATCATCGAAACATAATTTGAATTGATACTTACAAAGAAAACCAAGGTACTAATTTCACATTTCTGGATTTGCCGGATAACGCCATGAGAGAAAGAAGACTTCACTAATGACTAGCAGAACAAAACGATCAGTAAACTGTTAACAATCATTGGCCTTTATTATTAGACTCGTAAATTTAAGCCTATTAGATTAATAAATTATTCACTCACTGTGCAACTGCTGTGTTCGTTCAGTTCAGTTCAGTTCGGTATATGGCTTTAGGTAGAAGGGTGTACCCATACGCCATTTTCTTGCTGTGTTCGTTGAACGCACTCAACCAAACGCTAAAGGCCAGAGCACAGACTTCTGCATAAAGCCCTAAACACAATGCCAGGCAACAGGCAGTAGGAATGAAAATAGACCAATCACAATAGTTTATTCTTGTAATAGTCGATTGTGATTGGTCTATTTTTATTCTTATTGCCCGTTGCCTGGCATTGTGCAAAGGGCCTAACGCGTAATACACAACACATAATACTTCGTCTACAATAGAAGTCATAAAGTCGTAAGTCGTACAAATTGACCAATCGCGGTCGATTATTTTTCTCTTACCGGACTATGATATATTGTAGACGAGGTATAAGAGAATCAACCAATCAGAGTTCTTCATTTCTGTCCTGAGGAAGGAAATGAAGAAAACTAATTGGTTTATTCTCTTATGCGTTATGTATTATGTGTTATGCAAAAGCCTGTGCTTTTGCCTTAAACGTTCACTCGAACCACGTGCGTATGCAAAAATGCATGAATACAATGTATTGGTCTGTTCTTTACATAGACATAGGAATATAGGGACAGAGCATAAGCCCGTAAGACAGGCGAGGGGAGTTGTGCTGAAATACGGAGAGCGACTGTGCCTAAAGCCAGTGGCACACGGTGCTTGTTTTCGTGCTGGATTGCTTGCTGGATGAAAATACTGCGTTCTGATTGGTGCATTTCCATCCATCTTCGGAAATGTACCAATCACAACGCAATATTTTCATCCAGCAAGCAATCCAGCACGAAAACAAGCACCGTGTACCGCTGGCTTAAGTTTCATTGGCTACAATAGTGCGCATATTCAGAGTGTGTGATGCAACGACTTGGCTGTCACTGGCAAATAGTAAATGTAACAAAATGATAAGAACTATTTACACTGACAGTATTTTACAGAGGTTATGCATGTGTCTTTTTTTTCATAATTTCGCTCGCACACAACTTTATATACATCTATGTATATATCAAATACTTACACACGGCACAACCATCAATTAGATTTAGGCACAGTTTACCTCGTCGCACCGTCCCGCAATGATTATCCCTCCGCAACTATATGGGGTGCGTTCCGTTTCACGCATATGCGCGCATTTTTTATAGTATACGTGACATAAACTATAGATAAATGCGCGCATATGCGTGAAACGGAATGCACCCATGCTCTGTCCCTATATTCCTATGTCTATGGTTCTTTGTAGCTGCACTGCTGAACTGGTGCAATAAACTAGAGTGAGAAAACCTATATTTGTCTCACTTTAACTTATTGCACCAGTTCAATAGTGTAGCTACAAAGAACCATATATCATCATAGACACGTGGTCTGTTCGTTTTAGCTACACTACTGAACTGGTGCAATAAATTAAAGTGAGAAAAATATATGGTCTATTCTTTTTAACTGCACTGCCGAACTAGTGCAATAAGTTAGAATGAGACAACTATATATTTTCTCACTTTAACTTATTGCACCAGTTCAGTAGTGCAGCTAAAAAGAACAGACCAACGGGCTGTGTTCCGATATTTACTGCCAGCACTGAAAATGCCGGGGAGGGGAGGATGGGGAGGGAGGGGGAGGGGGAGGGGGAGAGGGAGAGGGAGAGGGAGAGGGAGAGGGAGAGGGAGAGGGAGAGGGAGAGGGAGAGGAAGAGGGAGGGGGAGGATGAGGGGAGAGGGAGAGGGAGGGGGAGAGAGAGAGGGAGAGAGAGAGAGAGGGAGGATGAGAGTTAAAGAGAAAGAAAGAGTGAGGGAAAAAGAAACAGTAAGGGAAAATTATAGAGTAATGGAGTATGGGAGGGAGGGAGAGTGATAGGATGAGAGTAGTATGGGAGTGGGAAGGGGTGAGGAGGAGGGAAAGGGAAGTTAGCTTCTATATTCAGGACCGTCTTGAATTCATCTTCAAATGCTTTTTATCCAATAGAACGATGCATATAGCATCTAAAGATGAACTTAAGATGGCCTGGAATAGAAATGTTAAACGTCGAAATTCATTAGTTACGCGTTATGCAGAAATCATGGAATTTCAAACTGTATACGCTTAATACATCGTATGTTGGAGTCGGATATTATTAAATTTTTATTATACTACAGGGATTATTTTTATGATTTATAATATTTATTCTAAACTTTAATATGAATAAACTAAAATGATGCGCGCGTAGCACGCGCTTGTAGTGTTCTAGTGTTATATAAACGCATAACACCGCATGTGCGGTACCGTGCTTGTCAAGTACGCTATTATGGTTGTAGCACGGACATAAACCACCTGAAAGTGGATGTAGCACGGACTGCCATCATATGCAGGTTTTACCGCCGAAACCTGAAAGTGAATGTATCGTAGTATCGGAAGTAGTATCGTAGTTTCCCTCTCAAAATGGATGCAGATGGCGCCTTTTCCCAGTGCGGAAAGTCGGTGTCGTCGAAAACGTCGTGTTGGCCGCTCTCACGTTCCTCTCTAGGGCTGTATTCCGTACCTATATATCGACAGTTGTCGGTGTCATTAGCGACATTGCGCAGGTTTTTTATATAACAAAAAAGCTGCGCAATATTGCTAACGACACAGACAACTGTCGATAAGTGGTTACGGAATAGCAGCCCTGGTACATATTTTTCGGAGTCATATATTGAGTCGAAGTTAGCAGTCTAGTTGTAGGCTATAGAAGTCTATGGTCAAAACATCTATTAGCCACTCAAGCATTTCTCTGGTTCGTGGTGCGCCGCCATAACGTGTTTTCCTGTTTTCCTCGAGAAAGTTACTGTCGTCCAATGAAGATGAATATCACTTCAGCAGGTAAACGTCAAGTCATGACAGATATGTCAAAGTATATTAGTTTTTCACAAATTATGCTACATTATATAATAATTTGATTAAATATGTAAATTTTTCTACGATGATTTGCAAATCATGCAAGACCCAACCTCTAATTGTCTCCGACACACAATTTCGGAGCATCCATTATTAAAAATGTCGTGGAAAAGAAGAGTATTAAATTTTAAATTAATTTATTAAATGATAAATTTCATTACGTATTTATTATTTTTTATTTATCTATTATATATTCATCTTATACATGTGTATACATTTTATTTTAGTATACTTAATATAATTATTACTTTATCTTCATAACTGATTAATTTAATTTAATTTTAATAATTGATGTGTTTAATATTAGAATAATTAGAATATTATTATTTTTGCAGCTGGCATAATCTCCTTACTTGAGGAGCCTATGCCTGAATTGAAGGTTTTTGCCTTGAAAAAGTTGGACATGATAGTTGACGAATTTTGGCCTGAGATTTCTGAAGCCATAGAAAAGATGTATGTAAAAAATAACAATAATCAAATTTGTTTTTACATAATTTACAATAATATATTTATCAATCTATATTTTATCTTTGTTAGATTTTTTACAAAAGACATTATTTTCCTATTAAATTTTTCTCTCATATAAATTGATTTAAACTGTTTGGAAATATAAATCTCGTAATCTAAACTAATGTCCTTTTTATAGAGAAATTTTACATGAAGATAAATCATTCAATCAACATGAACTGGCTGCTTTGGTGGCTAGCAAAGTATACTATCATTTAGGTAGCTTCGAAGATTCTCTGACTTATGCTCTTGGAGCTGGAGAACTGTTTGATGTCAATGCTCGAAATGAATATGTTGATACTACTATTGGTACGCTTGAAACATTATCATCATAGTGATGCTCTATTTTCTAGTGATAACTTATGTAATTGAATTTTCAGCCAAGTGTATTGATTACTATACTCAACAACGTGTTTTGGAAGCAGAGGGCAAGCTTCCTCCTGGTAATAAAGGTATTGACCCTAGACTGGAGGGAATAGTAAATAGGATGTTCCAACGTTGTCTGGATGACAATCAGTATCGCCAAGCTTTAGGTCTAGCCCTTGAGACACGTCGGATGGATGTTTTTGAGGCTGCCATTATGCAGTCTGTGAGTATCAATTTTTTTTATTGGAATCTGTCATTTAGACTTACACATAATATATTCTTGGTTATTAGCTATTTCTATTTTATTTCTATAATATATATTTTTAATTATTAATAATGATTTACATTTCAACTCCTTTAGAATAAAATAGATATATCCAGAAAGAAAATAATATTTTGTTATATTAGTAATACTATAAATATTATTTGCAAAAGATACTAAAGTAATATTGATTTAAGACCCAAGATATTGATTTGTATCAATTTATATTAATAATTTTAATCGATAAATATTTCCGTGGAGGGGAATAATTATGCACCAACAAATGTCCACATCTCTGCTAAACACTTTAGCTTGGATGTTCCTGATAGGTGCTAGAAAAAGATGGTATTCAGGCGTTCTTGTCTAAGTGATCAATTCACTAGAGAAGGGTATGAATTACCACACAAAAGAGGCTATGCACCAACAAATGCCTGAATCAATACAAATTGATAATATACTAAAATTCAATCCATTAAACATAAATTCATTCAAGACCTTTGCATTTGTCGATAGAAATACAACGAGATCCTTTACTTTGTTAGGATGACGTGAGCGGAATGTTATCCTATGCCTTTCAAGTCGCCATGAGTCTCATTCAAAACCGCGGATTTCGCAACACCGTACTGCGCTGTCTGGTCAGTCTGTATCGAAACCTGGGCACTCCCGACTACGTCAATATGTGTCAATGTTTGATCTTCTTGGATGATCCATTGGCCGTGGCCGAGCTTCTCGATCGACTGAGCAAGGGCTCTCAGGATTGCGTGCTGATGGCGTATCAGATCGCTTTCGATCTATATGAATCTGCAACGCAACAATTCCTCGGCCGCGTCCTACAAGCTTTGCGTGCCACCGCGCCCATTCCGGGCGCGCTGATGGTTAAACCAGTGGTCAAACCCGCCGCTACCACCGTCACCGCTAACACCAAGCCTGTTGAAGCTACGGAATCCGCGAGCATAGAGACCGATAGCAGTACTACCCCTGCGGAAGATAAAACCGAGCGCAGTGTCGAAAGTTTGGTAGGTATTATCTCATGAATAAACTTGGAATATTATTTATTAGATATTAAAGTCACACAAATGTTCTTTTATTTCCTTGTATGCAATACATAACAAATATATATATATATATTTTTTGTTATACGCGATATATACAGCATGGGTATACATAAAATTGTGTATTTTATGTGCATTGCATTAAAAAAAAAATATATATTACACTATAAATTACTGTGATATTTTAAATTATTTTATAATTTACCTTTTAATATGTCTTTTATGATACTTTTTTTCTAGAATGCGGAAGAAAGAGAGCAGCAAGAACGTGTGGACGCTCTCTCTAGTATTTTGGGCGGCGAGGTATCGATCGATCTGCACTTGCAATTCCTTATTCGCAGCAACCATACTGATATGCTGATCCTGAAAAATACCAAAGACGCCATACGAGTTTCGATTTGTCACACCGCCACTGTAATCGCTAACGCTTTCATGCATTCGGGAACGACTAGCGATCAATTTTTAAGGTTCGTATTCACTTCTAGGATTTCTCTTGGATGTAAAAACTTCATCTCTGTTATTAATTTTTCGAAAAGAAAATTAGGAAAATATACCAGAAATGAAATCTTGTAGAATTGCCCTATATTTTTCATTTGAAAATATTACGAGAACTTTGAGAGGAATTTTTCCGCGAGTACCAGAACATTCCTGTGTTATTTCAGAGACAACTTAGAATGGCTAGCCCGAGCTACCAATTGGGCGAAACTTACTGCAACCGCGTCTTTGGGAGTGATACACCGAGGACATGAGCAAGAAGCTTTAGCTCTGATGCAGTCTTACTTACCGAGAGATTCAGGTGCCGCTGGTGCTGGATATTCCGAGGGCGGCGGTTTATACGCTTTGGGATTGATCCATGCTAATCACGGTGCTGCCATCACAGACTACCTCCTCGGCCAATTGAAGGATGCTCAAAATGAGGTACGGCACACGTCGTATAAAATATTTCCTTGCAATATTTTTTGAGAACGCACGAGCAATTATTTCACATGTTAAATCGTTATTTCTCAATGAGATGCATTTTTACTCTGCTATCATACTTTATTGTCTCTCGTTATTAATTAAATTATAATAAACGAAGACTGTCCAAATTTAAACGTAGTCTGAAACCGAAAATTTGATTCATACAATGCGACGCGATTTATCCCTGTTTCAGATGGTTCGTCATGGAGGTTGTCTCGGGCTAGGATTGGCCGCTATGGGTTCTCATAGGCAAGACGTTTATGAACAGCTGAAATTTAACTTGTACCAAGACGACGCAGTGACCGGCGAAGCCGCTGGTATCGCTATGGGAATGGTCATGCTGGGATCCAAATCCACACAAGCTATTGAAGACATGGTCGCGGTAAGTTTGAGGCATGCTCAAACATGGCATGTTGTACTTTGCTTTGTATATTTAATTCTTAATTATTACTGCTCATATTACATATTATTATGAGAGAGAACTGGGATATGGTAACAGAGTTTAGTGTGTAACATATATGTGGTAGTAGTCAATATATTATTGTAGTCTACTATAATTAGTATTTTACTGACTAGTAGTTTGTTCAACTCCCAATGGTGGGGTTGCATTGCATTTTCAGCGACACGCGTTTTAAATTTGAAGTTTGAAAATATTATCGGCTCACCGAATAAACGGTTCGGGCATATGAGAATTATTATCGTTAGCGGGCTAATAGAATAAGACGAAAAATATATTCTTAAAAAGGTTTTAAGAAAGTCATCTTTAATATCATATCGTAAAATTTGTACCAAAATAATAATTATAAAACGAGTAGATCATTATCCAAGCGCGAACGGTGACTCGCTGGCGGTCTCCAGAACGTACTCTCCTTTCGCCCTGAAATCGACAAGCGAGCAGTCGCGTTAATCGCTCGTCTGCACTTTAAAACTGTCATTATTGTTCTTTCTCATTCGCGCGGACTCGATCGAATTAATCTATACTTATCGATCCATCAAGTAAAGTTGACAACATTTATTAATTAACATGGAAGAGGAAAGACTGATCGAAGCGCAATCGTGTGTTATCTGCAAGCATCCTTTAATATTCTTGGAGATGCGCACATACACACATGAGGCAACGTTGAAAAAGCGCAATTTTTTACGAAAGCAACTTTTCGAAACGTTAAAGAGGTGTTTTGCATCTTTGATGAGGAAAAGGGGAGAAAAGCACGGGAAAATCAACGCTGCACTTACTTTGCATCGAGAATCGGTCCTCCCATGAACACGTCGTCGGCGCGGAAACCTTTCGGATTCACGATGGATTCGGCGTAGTACATGTAAGACCTCGAGTGCGCGCACACACCTGCATATCGACGCGTCGATTAGCTCGTTGGTGTAATGAGTCAACAAGCGTTGACGACGTCGATCGTCGTAGCGAACTTTACGGAGCCGCGAATTCGCACGGTTGCGCTTGGCGCGCGCATACATAGCCGTGCGAATTAATGTCCGTGATCGCAACGCGAAGAGCCGCGCGCGAAACGTTATTCCGCTAATTGAGGATTTTTGCTTCAATTTCGAGAGAACAGAATTATACATGTGTTTAATTGGCGATAACAATACAAAGGCAAGAAGTCAGCAAGTAAAACCGTTCGTTCATCGAGCATGAAACTTCACGCGCTGCTGCCCATTTTTCCCTCTCTTCTTTTTTTTACTTCATTTTCGAAAGAATAAGGCATAAGCATGCGTAATCGACAAACAAGCATCCAAGGGACGCAATTGCATCCCTTGCTATATTGATTCCTTCTCACGTCGACTCGGCTTCGCTCGAGCAATGGGACTCCAGCGGGCCTCCCGTGGAGGAAGAAATTCATCTCGCCGCGCTTTCTCCTTTCAATGGTGGTATCAATTTCTCGCGGCTCTCGTGTTACGTATTTAGGGGAGAGCACCTTGTGTGCTCTGTCAAACAAACCGGTAACTCTGCGCCGGCCGTTTCACCGGCTGCTTCAAACGCAGCCCGTGTAATACGCACCCGTGCCGCGCGCGCGCGCGGCTTTATGTCAATTTGCGCACGGCAGCCTTTGCGTGCGCGCCGATGCGTCCGATTGGATTCGTCATTATTTACCGATCAAGTCCCACAGGCTGCATCCCGGCTGCTTTCCGCCGCCGTTCGGGTAGAAATCGGCAGTGCCGATCGCCTCCTTCATGCCTAGGACACCCACGCTCGTATGTATCACTTGGACTCGAAACGCGTCCGTCTTGTCCACCCTGGAGCCCGGGTTCTTCCCGGAGAACGAGGGTTTCGCAGGGTCTAGAGCTGTGAAAAAGAGCGGCGGCGTTCTTAGCTTATTGTCCGAGGTCGAGATCGAGGTAGTGGCTGAGAGGGAATTTCGAGCCTCTCAAGGTCTTTTCAAGTCGAAGAGGTAAAAGGCGAGGCTCCTTCCCTTCTTTTTACAGCTTGTGCTCACTTTTTTCGTTTTTTAATTTATTTATTCATTATTATTGTTTATCATAAATATTTAATATACTTCACACTGTATTTATCATTACGCACCCCGTCTACGTATATTTATTTCATCGGTTTTCCGTCATCTCTCGCGTCGTTTCACTTTTCTTGAGATTTGCTTTCTCTTTAATTAATTAACTCAGCAAATACAGATAGATGTCGAGCAATTGAGAGAAGGAGAGAAGAACGCAAGTATGTCATGTTATTGTAATGTTTCGAACAGTTTACTTACCGAGTACTTCGTTGATCTCGCTGTTCGCGAAGCGAGCGGCCAGGCCAGAGATGTGCGCTCCCAAGGAGTGTCCGATCAGCTTGGTTGTATCCGGATTCAGACCTGCGTTCTCCTCCAAAAAGTTCAACATAAGGGCCGCCCGACTTGCCACTTGCGGCACGCTACTCGCGGATTTCCAATATATTAAATAACTGGCCGCCTTCTGCCAGTCGATCAGGATGACATTGTAATCGCCAGCCTTGAGATATGCTGGGAGTATTGAAGAGGAGACGTTAATAGAAATCGTCAAGATCGAGCAGAGAAATTTTCGCGGATTTATTTGGGAAAGCGTTGGGCCGTTCGAAGATCTACGAGTCGCGAAGAGACGGGAAGAATCCAAGGAAAAGAGGAAAAGAAATTCTAGACCCGATATACGAGATCCAAGAGGACAGGAGGAATCTGCGATCTTGCCGTCGAGAATCGAGAGGACAGGATGAGAATCGGGACGGGGTGGAGGAGGAACGAAGAATTGAAGTTATAAACGCTGTCGGCGATTTTACCATCTCGTACGAGGGTGCAGACGACGCTGTCGATATTTCCGTGCCAGCCGTGGGTGATCAGACGAGTGGGACGTTTTGAATCCCAGAAACTGTTCCTTATGTTGTCCAAGTCGTCGAGGAGCAACACTTGCCCCTGTCTCGGGTTCTTCCTGGAAAGATAGAGGAGAAGGAGATGAGAGAGAGAGAGAGAGAGAGAGAGAGAGAGAGAGAGAGAGAGAGAGAGAGAGAGAGAGAGAGAGAGAGAGAGAGAGAGAGAGAGAGAGAGAGAGAGAGAGAGAGAGTTCCATGTGCGAGAACGATGATTTTCGCGACGATCCACTCGCGTGTAATATTTACCGAGTGTACAAGAAGAAAGCAGTCTTCGCTACAGCGTCCGCCATCTCCGCGATTTCGGTTTCATTCAGTGTTGGTTCGCTGATGTCAATCGCGTATGCGACTCCATGGTCATTTGCGAAGATCGTGTAGTTCTCGTTGCTCGTGGTTAATAACGCCAAGAGAGGCGGATAAACTGCGAATAGAAAAGCGTTCGTTAGTTTGCGACGGCTCCTCGAGACCGGGCAAGACGTAAACATGTTGTAGATCTACTCGTTTTGAGATTCTGCGAGAGAGAGAGAGAGAGAGAGAGAGAGAGAGAGAGAGAGAGAGAAATAGTTGATCTTGTTAAAATTATCGTGTGTCACTTTCGACGTTAACCAAAACTCTAACAAAAAAAAAAATAGTAACAACAAATGCATACGAGATTGTTATCACTGGTGCAACAACAGCACTAACTGCGAAACTGTGAAGATGAATTCCTTGATTATAATTAAATCACCGTGCCATTTTAGAGAATTATGAGTACCAGCTTTTTCTTCTCAGCGCGAAATCTAAGAATAATCGTTGTTCTTCGCGAATACGCGATTGTAGGTTTAAGAATAATCACGAATATACAACTCTCGCATAATCGAAGGCTCGTTTTCACAATTGTGCAACTGCAAGTCCAAGAATAATTCTTTTCCGCGAGTTGTTTGATGAGGATTCTTCTCTTTTCACGTACCTAACGCAATCGTCGGCACAGCTGCCATTTCTGAGAATTTGTGGAATGTCGTAGATGATTTTGGTTTGGTCTTCACGTCGGTGGTTTCTTTTATAGTTTGCTGACGACGAACGCTTGTCCGTTGCAATCGATAAGTGATATAGATTGATAGGTGTAATTAATTCGTCATGCGTCAATTACTCGTGGAGAGGATTAACGAGCTGGGAGATTTTTACTTATGATCGCAATCGTTCTCTCTCGAAAAAAAGAAAAATATGATAGAGTTTATGATCGCCGACGTTTTTAATACCACGAGTATTATCTTATCGATGATATATATTATGTAAACATACAAAATTACATACAAAGATAATCCTGGAAATAATTCTTAACATTCCAGCACCAGTTTGGCCACAAAGTATATCTAATGACGAAATGTTCACTATATCAGTGCATTGCTTTATCCGACGATATCTTTCGGATTTACTTTGAAATCTAACATTAAATAATGTCTTAGGCGTACCGCTCAATGTTCACAAGTGACTTCGAGAGATCAAATCACCGAAAAGAAACTTTCGTGTAATTTTTTTCTCCTTCGGAAACTTTTTTCGCGAAAACAAAGAATGTTCATTTACACAGCGTATTACCGAATTCTCTTTCGAAATTTGAACGAGTTTCATCCAGGGGTGATTTTTCCCTAGCGTGACTTTGTAGAGGAAACTTTTTCTCTTTGCGAGAGAACAGAATGTTAGATTTTCGGAGTTTACACTCTTTTAACGTCCAGCAGATTTAACGGGAAGTTTCAACTGTTTGTCAAAAAGAGAAAAAGGAAGGAAGAAGGCGTGAAGGACGTGAGGCGCTGCTACACTTTTTCGCGCCTTAATCTGCGAGTTTCCACGCCGAGTTTCCACGCCCAAAACAACGGTCGCGTTTTCGTCACGATGTTTCTCGGGGAAAGTAGTTTCGCGCGGGACTGAAACAAGCCTTAACTTTCGTCGCCGCTGGCCGTTGCAGCAGCGGGTCGATGCTAAACGAATCATAACTTGCCACTAGTCCGTCGACTTAATCGAATTATCCATTACGGGTTCCATAATGTATCCCAGCGGTTCCGCGATTAAGTAACGCGACATATTTCGAGCCTGCAAAAAGCAGCCAGGCGCGCATTAGTCGCGAAATCCGCTTGGGATAAATACGATTCACGCAACGCTGTTGAAAAAAGAAGAGAAGAAGAGAAGGAGCAACGTGCACAATTTCGTGGAGCTAAACTTCCGAGAAACCAACGAAGCAAAATAAACGAATGGAAAGCGTTCCATTTCCGGGGAAGAGAGGAGAAAGAAGTATTACCGCGCGTTCCGTCTCTATTCGGAGAATTCCTCTTTCGCACGGTGTCCGATAAGACATATCGATTCCTATAAATTAATCTTTGATTAATTTATCCCCCGATATTTTCAGTTCCTCCATCCTCGTCTTTGAGTAACGTCTAAACTCAGTAGGTTTCGAGATAACGGACGAATACCTCCGGCCGATGCTACGACAGCTGCTATAATTACCGGTAAACTTTGATCCAACAGGTGTATCGCGAGATTACGCAAAAGTTTATGTTCAAAGTTACGTTATCAAGTGTTTACAACGGCTCACTTAGAGATGTTTGCGCGAATAAGTGGGAAAATATTTCCCAATCAAGAAGTCGCGCGGAAGTCGCTCGCCGATTCTCGGCGAAGGTTCGCGAGATGAAAAATAATAGACCGGACTGTTACGCCTCGAATCTAATTTGTTATTTATTGCTCAACTGGAAATTGCTTGGTTAGGTCGCGTAGCTTCTCCGGAATATTAACTGGCTCTTTGGTTTGTACGAAGCACGGAGCGAGCTCGGTTTCTTATCCGTGTTCCGTATCTTGCGTCTTTGTCTCGCGTCTGTTTCAATCCGAGAGTAGTTTCGACGTTCGCAAAATTACACCGTGGCCGTAACGTCATTAAACAGATTGGTAAACAGGATAAACCGTCGGTAGTGTTTGTAGCCTCAGCCTCGCTCCGGATGTTCCAAGGTCCAAACTCATTCCAAAACGAGAACCATCGCTCTCTCTCTCTCTCTCTCTCTCTCTCTCTCTCTCTCTCTCTCTCTCTCTCTCTCTCTCTCTCTCTCTCTCTCTCTCTCTCTCTCTCTCTCTCTCTCTCGCTCGCTCGCTCATTAATTTTTACCTTGGAGAAACGTCTCATCGTTCATTAACGGGATTAACAGTTATTATACGGATAGACTTTATGTCAACATCGTGTCGCGAATGTGGACGTGTATTTACATTGATTTTTGCATGTACAAGATTTTTGCAACGCAAGAGTTTTATCCGATATATATTTTTATCAGAACCTTTGAACGAGCATATCTCTCAATTTATCGTGCACAGATAATATGTTGCTTTAACATTCGGAACAAGGTTACTAGTGTTTTCTAATCACACGAATTTCTTTTTAGACATCAGCATAAACTGTAACAAATGTACCGCTTTCGCAGGATTGTTCCTTTTTCTTTGACGGTAAATCAATATTGCGATTGAAAAATTCTAATAACCTAGTTGCGCAAAATATCAAAGCTATTCCAGTATCCGTTTAAGGATATTTGAGCTTGAGTTTGAACTACTTAGTATATTATCAATTTTATAAATATATATCGTATAAGATGAAAAATATGTTCTTTTTGAATAATATTCACGTGGGAGGTTTTTTTTAATTTAGTCGTGCTCTCGCGAGAAATCCCAGAAATAACAAATTTTTCCTCACGTCGCGTTACATCACACGGGAAATTTAACTCTTTGGGTGCGCAGCAGCGCGACAAAAAATCGCTCCGTATACGGGCGTGCCAGAACTTGGCAAGATTGTCGGATATCTCATCTGCGACGATATTAGACGGGAGGGAAATAAATTAGTGTTTGAAACTGAAAACAAAGCCTACAACTACAACTGTAACTAAACGGCGGAGAAAGCGGATGTTCAAGCGAGAGCACTCGAAAACGCCGGTAGTTCGTGGCGAACCTCTTACTCGGAGCGCATATATGCGCCCGCAACACTCAAAGGGTTAAGCTTGTTAATCGTATTAGTGTGGCAGCTAACCGATATTCGGAAGATGTGGGCTGTTTTAATCAGTTTCTCTCTCTCTCTCTCTCTCTCTCTCTTTCTCTCTCTCTCGGTTATTACATCCAGAACTATCATTACAAGTCGCCTTTACTGATATTGATATCAGCTTGAAACTGAGAAGCCTTTATTAAAGCGCTATAAACTCTACTGCTATCTGTATTTTCTAGAGCACATCAAAGGGACATTATTGTCTTGTTAATAAAGTGAAATTAGAATTCGAACATTATCGTGCGCTTACAATTGACACGTTGACTGCCGAATATGAGTTCGTAGTTGGCAAGCGAATAGAACTCGCCGTCGTTCCATGCGTCAGCTACGAGTGAATTAATTGCGTCGGTTTTTCTCCGAGCGTGCATTTTCATCGCGAGTAATTTCACCGGCTAATAAGTGTAATTAATCAACATATTGAAATGACATGTTGATTTTGAAATCGAGGGCAAAGTTCCCCGACGCGCCGCTGCGGCTGGCAACGCGTTGAAGCGCGCGCGACACAATGCGCATTTCGCGACCTCGTATTGCCATGCTGATATTATCCGATGCAAAATATTGCCGTTATATCGTCGTCATCCGCTCTGTTCGCCGTAAAGAAGGAGCCGCCGTCGGCTTTACGACGGCGACAGTTCCGGGGCTTGATTATCGATCTCTTTACGACGCTTTGCCTTTGCAGTACGCCCAAGAGACGCAGCACGAAAAGATTCTCCGAGGGCTGGCCGTCGGCATCGCGTTCACGATGTACGGCCGCCTCGAGGAAGCGGATCCCTTGGTGACATCATTGTGCGCGGACAAGGATCCGATCCTGCGTAGGAGCGGCATGTACACTTTGGCGATGGCTTACTGCGGCACCGGAAACAATCAGGCCATCCGCAAGCTCCTGCACGTTGCCGTGAGTGTCGATCCCGAGACGACGAGCGACCACGCCACGTGCTGAATCGCGTTCTCTCGCCTCGACGTGGCCTTGTCTGCTCTCGTTACTTCTGCTTTCGACGTCGCGATCATTTGCTCGTCATCTTATTTGCGAGCTTGCGACGGTTTGTCGGATGTCGTCCGTGATATCTCGAAGGAATCTTGCGGGTGTCCTATAGTTATAGATAGGGTTGCCGGATGTCCTCCTTTGGGAAGGAGATTCCCAAATCCTTTTTTCTAGCCAAGATTTTCATGTTCTGCCAAGGACGCTGCTTGCCCTTCCCTACCGTATCGAAGGAGTCTTTATTTGCAGACGTGCTTTTACAGTGACTTATTGTAGTCGCTATCTAATAACATTTTTATCAATAATATGTACATATAAAATATACATATGAAATTTTTAATATATATGTAATTGGAAATTGACGTTCGAAAACATGATGGACGCATTCCACCCTTTTTTTTGCTTATCAAAATTTTCGAAAAATTTTCTCCCCTACTAACTTACAAATCTGACAACCCTACGTGAAACAACATAGTGACACGAAAAATGATAGAAAACGGTAACGATAACATGCGCGTTTCGATAATAAAAGAGATATGGCTAAAATCCGACAAACTTTGACGAGCTTTTGGTCAATATGTCGTATACCGGGGGCGGTGCCGAAAATATGGGAAGCGCTATGAAAATTCGGAAACAGGATGTCGTTGGGTCGGTTGAAAAATTCAGTTGGGTTTTCCAATCAAATTTTCCTTCATTGCATTCGATTCGTGTGTCCGTCGTTGAGGGAGATCGGTTTGCCGGCGAAGAAAGCGGAAAATTGAGCCGAACTTTCCGTTCTCGATTCAACTTTATGATCTCTTTTTTTAATAAGCTAATCGGAAGCACGATTGTGCGCGCGGTGATCGCGCGCGAATCGAACACGTTGCTCTCTCGGATACCAATTCCGATTTACGTCTTCGCTTTAGGAGACGGGCCGTTTTTCCGCGTCGATTCTCGGGATAAAAGAAATCGGGCAGATCGAATTTCCGCGCGGAACAATCACGCGTCTCATTCCTCGTTTTTCCTTTCTTTTTTCTTCTAACAGGTTTCTGATGTTAACGACGATGTTCGGCGAGCCGCGGTTACCGGTCTAGGATTCCTGCTGTTCCGGTGAGTACTTTTCAAAAGTTACCCAATTCCACAGGGCGGATGCAAAGCACGAAGAATGCGGGCATTCCGTGCGCTTGCGAGAGAAGTTCGCGGCTCTCCGAGAATCCTCTTTTCTAGGTCGGTCTCCTCCGAGATTCCGAGTGGAACCGTATCCATTGCGCCGTTCGTGTGCGTGCATCAACTCGCCATCCCGAAAAAACAGGAAAATCTCAGGGTCGTAACTTTGACCTTTCCGCAGTGTTTCCGGGCGCGAGCAAGAGCCGCGAACGTTAAACGCCCTTCCGCGGTGTTTCCGCCGTCGAAAAAACAGCAATAACAATAAATCGCGCACGCGTGCTTTCTCGCGCTCACGCGAGAGCGTGCAATGCCCTAACAAATGCGAGCGTTAAAGAACGCGTTACGAGACACGTTAATTAAATTAATTGCGACCATCTCGAAGCCAATCTCCGAGAGGTTATTATTACAGAGGCGGAATCAGGCTTGCGCTTATTCCGCGGACAGCCGCCTTTTTATATCTAATTGTGCTCTATATTTCATGGCTTTGTCCTTGTGTATACTCCACGAAAACAAAGTCGTGAAATGCAGAGTGCTAACAATGTATAGATGTAAAAAAAAATGTGAGATACGTGGAGTTAAGTTTCTTCCCGGGTCATGTAAATCCGAGGAGAACACAAGGGTTAAAGTAACGTCGATCGAATTCGCCGGGCAAATTGGTCGGTTGAGGTAATATTTCATCGGTGTGTTAACGCGTTAATGAATAACGATCAGCCTTTTGTTTACGTACGTGCTGCGGAAGCGCGAGCGCGACGAAGAGCGCGTCGCGGAAATCCCGTCGTGTCGGCGTGATTGACGTCACGAGAATGCGAATTATATGCCGGCGAATTGTCTCGCGGTCGGTCTTATCCGCCGATCGATCGCTAATATTTCGATGCTGATACTTCGCGACCGATCGCAGTCGGCCGAAGTCTACCGTCTCTCGCGATAACGGCGTCGTTGTTCACCGCGACTTCCGCTGACGCAACTTCGTCTCTGTAAATTCGACGTTAATGAAACTACGTTTCGATTGCTCGCGCTGTGTGCTCCTGTGGGAAAAAACTGCGGATTTTCTATCGCGCAATCCTACGGACGAGTCTTCGCCCTCGCCGCGTTTCCCGATGCGTATGCGCGATTTTTCCCGGCGTGTATCTCTGTATCTCGCGGCTTTAAGAGCCCGTTGTAAAGATATCGATAATTTTATAAAGTAGATATGAAACTGTGCGGCGTTGTTGAGATACACCGTGTAAAAAACAGAGAAATATGCGTCGGCAGGTAGCTTGAAATAAATATCACGTGACTTGGAATTCTATCGAGAAGGGCTGGCTTGAAAATGAGCGATTTTGTCGTTCGATTTCGCCGCTCGACTTTATCTCGCCAAAGGCGACTGTTCTTTTCTCCTTAAACTGCGCATACATGTTTGCTTTTCTCTTTGATTTTTTATCTTCCGTCGTTGAACAAATATAAATGCGTAGTGATCAAACGGACGCTTGCCTCTTCGTGATGAAGACGTCTTCGTCGTCGTAAATGCTTCCGTGTCAGCGCAAACCGACGAAGACATTTCAGTGTACACAGTCGGCTTATACGGTTCATCGGGCGCTACGTAGTTCTGGTACTTGAGAGTTTGCAGGATACATCGATAGCCGATCCGTTGCCGTCGGCACTGTTGTTAACGTCAGAGACCGGATTGAATTGTTATCATTGAGGCAACAAATGCGAAAATATCGCGACACGCGCGTGCTCGCTCAAGTCGTCATTTATCGTGGCATGAAGCGAAGTGACGTTGGCAAATAAACGAGTTTTAAACAGTTGCGGGCGAATCGACACTTGATTTACGAGGCCGCTCGTGTCAGACAACGAAGAAACGGGAATGCAGCTCGCGCTCGCGCTCGCGGCACGAGCAACGGCGAATTTGCGTTTCACTTGGCCGTTTGCCGCCACCGCCGCAACCACCTTGAACTCGTTTATTCTCCAACTAGCGGGCAAACCGAGACGAATTTTCAACACAACTTTTTATCAGCACTCCCTCTCGCCTCGTTCCGCCTGCTTTCACGAGCAAATGCACGCGCGGAGATTGAGCGGGTTTGAAATCCCCGGGGCTAGATTTTTGCCTTTCATTTTTCCCTCCTTAGCTAAATGATTCGGCTCTTCGACCAACTTAGTTTTATAGCTGGACACAAACCATATGCCGAAGTTTCAGCACGTTCGATTTCAAGTAGTTCGGAAGTTATGAGCGTTTCAAAAGTAAATAGAAGATAAAGTTTCCCCTTTGATTTTGAACGGCGATTCTCGAGCTATTTCCGCACTACTTTCGACGTAGGCAACATTTGACTTTGCCGACAGACGCCGCCGGGGCGTGTGTATTCTTCTTTGTTCGATCGCCGTGGTTATTTTTGCCTCTGAAATGAATTTCCCCCAGAGTTTTTCTCTTAATCTCCAGGATCACGACACTTTCCGAGACATGTAGGAAGGACTTGCTATGCCTGTCGCGAGCAGATGTGAATGTGCGTTCGTATGAAGGTTATACGACGAAAATTTCCTACTTTCCTCCATTCCTGTTTCTCTCGTTTATTTTTTTCAAATTTTCAATGCGAATTATCTCTTTGAACGAAGAGAATGTTCCCGCTGTCGAAATTTGCAAGTTTAACATTCCACCATTTTCAGTCCGTATTAGCAAGTCGAGGGACACACATAACAATGCACTTCGCGTTTTTGCCCACGCGAGAGAGAGAGAGAGAGAGAGAGAGAGAGAGAGAGAGAGAGAGAGAGAGAGAGAGAGAGAGAGAGAGAGCAGTCAAAGGCAAATTAGTCGAAGAATTCGCGGATGTACAGAGAAACGCGGGGAATATCTAGAACACCTAGAACACCGGGGAATATCTAGAACACCTAGAACACCGTTTGTTGTACACAGGCAGCGCTCTTATTCGGATATTGCTTTCTTCGCATGCAACTCTTTGTGTTAATTTCGAATTGATGCGACATGTTTTCCTTTTCCTCCCTCTATTTCTTTCTCTTTCTCTCATATGTACACACACACACACACGCACACACACACACACACACACACACACACACACACACACACACACACACACACACACACACACACACGCGCACACACACACACACACACACACACACACACACACACACGTTCTCATACGTAGCTGCTTTCTTTCCTTCGTATTTCCTATTTCTTCTTCTCTCGAGATCCTCGCCATTACCCTTTCTAGCGACCGCAATGAATAGAGGCCGACCTATTGAATAAGTTATACACCGCACAAGCTGCACCACGTCTCCTTCTACCGCATTCAAATTGCAATTTCAGAGCAGCCGGTCGCGTAAGTGGACTCAAACTCCGAGTCCGAGACTGTAACTGCTCGCATCTCGCCATTCTGTGTCCGTAACTCCTCTTCTTTCGACTCGACAGACATGTCTCGGGAGAATATAATTACGAAATTATTAGAGAGGCAAGCAATGTCCCGAAATAATTATCGCATGCTAACAAGAGCGGACAATTGCGGAGAAAATTATTCATCATTAAAGAAGCTGTTGTGTTTAACAGTCAACATAATGAATTCGGAAGCTAAATGAGAAAATGGAAGAAAGATAGCAAAGAGAGAAACAAGAAAAAAGGAAAAAAAGGAAAGAGGAAAACGAAGACACAAGCGCGATTGAAGGGAGTAATTTTCCGCCACAAAAACTCTCATCCACGCCTCCTTTCATTTGTACGAATAATAAAAAGCAAGATGAGGAAACCGCCCAATTACTGCGGGTCGATTTCAAACCCTTCGTGGTACACGTTCGTACAGAAACAAAGATAATGTATTATACTTATCCCGCCGACCTCTGCCTCTCTCTCTCTCTCTCTCTCTCTCTCTCTCTCTCTCTCTCTCTCTTTCTCTTTCTCTCTGTCTCATAAGCTTCCCGTAATTTTTGTTCAGCTTTCCCAGCCGAAGTTACGAGCTTACCGTGTAAGTTCCGAAGCGAGTTAAAATTTCACGACGAACTCTCATTCTATCCAGAGACGAGCGTAAATCTAGCCGCTCCTTTTTCCGTGCGCCGGCACTATTGTTTCGTTAAATTGGCAAAGAATTATTCTTGTACAGCCTCTCTCTACCTTTTTTTCTCGTTCTCGCTCTCACTGGCCTTTACGCGGCTCTCTCGCGGTCTCTTCGTATAACCAGGCGCGCTCAGTTTTATAAAACGAGGCCCAGGCTAGAGATATTCACCCCCGTTGTCCCACGGGGGCGCGTGGGGTGGGTGGTTGCTGTTACGTGGTGATGTGGTAGGCGGTGAAAGCCGAAGGAGTTGCCCGTCTCGATAGGACGTGGAACACAATTGCCAGGGAAAGAGGAATCTCCCTGATCGCGGGCGCGCTTGCGCCCGATAGAGAGGACAACGAACAGGGGCATGCATTATTTTCTCCCGCTCAACCCCTTTGCCCCTGTGCACTCTTTTCACTCCTTTCGCCGCATTTTCCCGTTTCCCCCGCGATAAGTATTCCCGATAGCTATCCCGCGGCGGAGGCGTGCAGGATTGCGTTTCCATTCGACTCGGCTGTCCCGAGGTGTCTCCCAAGTTCCGAGTCTCGCCGCTCTCGCTTCCTCTCTTGCCACCCTCCCTCCTCCCCGGCCTGGGCTCTGGATTTTCTCATACGGGGCACACCCGGATGTGCGATAGCTCGGCGATCTTCGACGCCTCCGCGGCGTAAAATTGCGTTTGCCGTAAAAACGCGCTCATGCGCTTCGTGTAGCCTGAAAATGCCGGAAAAAGGGAAAAAAAGGAGGACGAAGTTTCATTTCGTCCCGGTCGCGGGAGCCGGGAGAAATCGTATTGATCAAGCAGGAAATACGTCTTCTTTTATCGATGAAAGAGAGAGAGAGGAGGGGGGGAGGGCGAACGGTTACTTTAGCGGGCGAAAAGGAAAGGAGATCTTCAAGCAGATAATAAAAATGATAAGAAGC